GACGCGACGCCCCAGGAGACGTCAGATGGCGTCTACCAGTGCGGTCCGACTTCTCTCGAGGCGATCAAGCAGGGGAAGGTGGGGTTCAACTACGACGTCGCCTTCATGGTCGCGTCAGTGAACGCAGATTTGATGCGCTGGAAGGAGGACCCCAACGCCCCGATGGGTTACGCAAGAATCTACTGCAACAAATACCAGTAAGTTCCCCCGTTACAAGCGACGACTGAATTGCTCGACTTCCAGTATCGGACGAATGATTCTGACCAAGAAGCCGTTTTTGTTCGACCCCAACGGCGACAAGGATCGCGAGGACATCACCTTGGAGTACAAGGCGAAGGAGGGTACCGAATTCGAGCGCGTCTCCCTGATGAACGCGGTCCGAGGACTGAAATCCGCGCAAAGGTGAGTCTGGCGAATGAAAATTGATCTGCTCACCTTTCCCGATTGCAGCTTCTTCAGCGTGCCGGAGAACATCAAGGCGGATGTCGACTTCGACCTGGTCGATTTGGATAAAATAAAAATCGGGGAGGACTACGAGATTGTGGTCAACATCAACAACAAAAGCGACGAAGTTCGGCACATTCGAGCGGTTTTATCCTCGTCCAGTGTCTTTTACACTGGGGTTAAGGCAAAGCTGATCAAAAAGGCGGAGGGAAGCTTTAGCGTGCCACCAAGATCGAGTAAGTCTCAACGGCCAATCAAATTTGCATTTCACTCTGTTTCTCAGCCGAAACCATGCGACTGGAAATACGAGCGGACGATTACCTGAACAAGCTGGTGGAGTACTGCATCATGAAAATCTACGCCATAGCTACAGTGGACGAGACCAAAGAAACGTGGGCCGACGAGGACGACTTCCAGGTGGTCAAGCCTACAATTCAAATTCAGGTACTTACCACGCCCTCTGCCAGTAACCGTTACGTTCGCCTTTCCCCAGATGCCATCGAAAACGATCCCGATTAAGAAGCCGGTCCTCGTGAAGCTGTCCTTCGTCAATCCGCTAAAGAAGCGGCTGACCAATTGCAAATTCCAACTGGCCGGGCCGTCGCTGGTGAGGAACCAGGGGATCGGCCACAGAGACGTCGGACCCGGCGGTCTCGTCGAGGTCGAGACGCAGATGGTACCGCAAGTGGCCGGCGAGCAGACGATCGTCGCCACCTTCGCGGCGAGAGAACTAATGGACATCACCGGTAGCGTAAAGGTCGACGTGTACGATGACGAAGATTAAGCTTGTTTGTGTTAACGCCGTACTTTATTTATTGCTTTTCAAATGTGTATTTAAAATCTCACTTTTAATAAATACAATAGGCATGCTGCAGGTATTTGTTTTAGTGGGAAGGTACGTATAACCCAGGGCCGTGGTACCTTCCTTATTTCTTCCAGGGGTTGGTACCGGAACCGAAAAGTACCGGTACCGGAAGTCTTTGCATTTATAATAAGCGCTTCATTTGGAACCGATACCGGTACCCTTATTATTAGTGCCAAAGAACCGGTATTTTTCGGTTCTCTCTCTCTCTTGTAGGTAGAATAGACACGTTAAAATCAAAAACAGTAAGAGGGTTGAAGAGTGTACGAGGAAAGAAATAGATAATGTACAAACCGAAGAAAAACGGAACCGGAACCAAAACCGAAAATTACTGAAGCGACAGATCCGGAACCGAAACCTATATTTCATATGGGTTCCAACCCCTGATTTCTTTACGACTTGTTTACTCCTACTCCTTCACTCGTCCTCCCTTGAGTCGTCATTCTCACATCTCTCACACCCACTCCGCCTCGTTTCCGTTCACGTATGTACCTGGTGACCCAATAAGACTGTTCCTCGGCCATATTTCGAGAACCGTCCTTCGTATGAAAATTATTGGGTAAATCGGCCATGAAGAATCGCTGGAAAATATTTTCAAGTTCTAAAAATGACCAACAGAGGGCGTAACTGCCATCTTAAATTTTAAAATTGCATTTTCTTTCAATTTCGCATAATAACATAACATTATTTTTTCGTATTTTTAAAGAGAACCAGTTTATCTATCATTTTCGTAAAAACAAAACTCAGTTATTTCAAAAACAAAGATGGTGTGGGGCGTTCAATTGTTTTTGCAATAACCTCCTTTAACTTCTTAACCGTTTGGCCGATTTTAACAAATTTGGTATAGTTGAAAAGAGCATCCTTTGGGCAATGGGAATCAACCAAAATATAGTCAATTTAGTTGAATCCTTCTCCGCTAGGGGGTTAGTTTTGACACTATAACCCAAAATCCTAAAAAAATCAAAAAAATTAAAATTGAATGATATGACTTTTTCTTTATGAAAAAGTGGCCAAATAACATCCAAAGAGGCCAGTGAAAATCGTTTTTCAAAATCTCGTTCCTAACTTCAAATATTGGGAAAATGCCCGCCAATTTAAAAAAAATGGTTAAGTGGCTCTTCTACGGACTCGTATTTAGTAATTAAAGTCGTAATTTCCTACTTTAAGTCAATAATTTCGAATTTAATTTAAGTATACGTAGAGGAAATTTGGTGTTCAGGTCGCCAATTTAAAAAAATGGTTAAGTGGCTGTTCTACGCACTCGTATTTAGTAATTAAAGAAGGAATTTCCTACTTTAAGTCAATAATTTCTAATTTAATTTGAAATTACTGAGTGTACGTAAAGGAATTAATGTGTTCAGGTTGCCAATTTAAAAAAAATGGTTAAGTGGCTCTTCTACGAACTCGTATTTAGGAATTGAAGCCGTAATTTCCTACTTTAAGTCAATAATTTCTAATTTAATTTGAAATTACTGAGTGTACGTACAGGAATTAATGTGTTCAGGTCGCCAATTAAAAAAAAATTGTTAAGTGGCTCTTCTACGTAATCGTATTTAGTAATTAAAGCCGTAATTTCCTACTTTAAGTCAATAATTTCTAATTTAGTTTGGAATTACTGAGTGTACGTACAGGAATTAATGTGTTCAGGTCGCCAATTAAAAAAAATTTGTTAAGTGACTCTTCTACGTAAACGTATTTAGTAATTAAAGCCGTAATTTCCTACTTTAAGTCAATAATTTCGAATTTAATTTAAAATTACTGAGTATACGTAGAGGAAATTTGGTGTTCAGGTCGCCAATTTAAAAAAAGGGTTAAGTGGCTGTTCTACGCACTCGTATTTAGTAATTAAAGCCGTAATTTCCTACTTTAAGTCAATAATTTCGAATTTAATTTGAAATTCCTGAGTGTACGACTGTACGTACAGGAATTAATGTGTTCAGGTCGCCAATTAAAAAAAATTGTTAAGTGGCTCTTCTACGCACTCGTATTTAGTAATTAAAGCCGTAATTTCCTACTTTAAGTCAATAATTTCTAATTTAATTTGAAATTACTGAGTGTACGTACAGGAATTAATGTGTTCAGGTCGCCAATTTAAAAAAAATGGTTAAGTGGCTCTTCTATATGCACTCGTATTTAGGAATTAAAGCCAGAATTACCTACTGTACGTCGGTAATTTCGAATTTAATTTTGAATTACTGAGTGTACGTACAGGAATTAATGTGTTCAGGTCGCCAATTAAAAAAAAATTGTTAAGTGGCTCTTCTACGTAATCGTATTTAGTAATTAAAGCCGTAATTTCCTACTTTAAGTCAATAATTTCGAATTTAATTTAAAATTACTGAGTATACGTAGAGGAAATTTGGTGTTCAGGTCGCCAATTTAAAAAAAGGGTTAAGTGGCTGTTCTACGCACTCGTATTTAGTAATTAAAGCCGTAATTTCCTACTTTAAGTCAATAATTTCGAATTTAATTTGAAATTCCTGAGTGTACGACTGTACGTACAGGAATTAATGTGTTCAGGTCGCCAATTTAAAAAAATGGTTAAGTGGCTGTTCTACGCACTCGTATTTAGTAATTAAAGCCGTAATTTCCTACTTTAAGTCAATAATTTCTAATTTAATTTGAAATTACTGAGTGTACGTACAGGAATTAATGTGTTCAGGTCGCCAATTTAAAAAAAATGGTTAAGTGGCTCTTCTATATGCACTCGTATTTAGGAATTAAAGCCAGAATTACCTACTGTACGTCGGTAATTTCGAATTTAATTTTGAATTACTGAGTGTACGTACAGGAATTAATGTGTTCAGGTCGTTAATAAAAAAAAAATGGTTAAGTAGCTCTTCTATGCACTCGTAATTAGTAATTAAAGCCGGAATTTCCTACTTTAAGTCGGTAATTTCGAATTTAATTTGGAATTACTGAGTGTACGTACAGGAATTAATGTGTTCAGGTCGCCAATTTAAAAAAAATGGTTAAGTGGCTCTTCTATGCACTCGTATTTAGGAATTAAAGCCGGAATTTCCTAATTTAAGTCGGTAATTTCGAATTTAATTTGAAATTACGGAGTGTACGTACAGGAATTAATGTGTTCAGGTCGCCAATTAAAAAAAAATGGTTGTGGCTCTTCTACGCACTTGTATCTAGAAATTAAAGCCGGAATTTCCTAATTTAAGTCGGTAATTTCGAATTTAATTTGAAATTACGGAGTGTACGTACAGGAATTAATGTGTTCAGGTCGTTAATTGAAAAAAAATGGTTAAGTGGCTCTTCTACGGACTCGTATTTAGGAATTAAAGCCGGAATTTCCTAATTTAAGTCGGTAATTTCGAATTTAATTTGGAATTACTGAGTGTACGTACAGGAAATTTGGTGTTCAGGTCCCCAATTAAAAAATTGGCTAAGTGACCCTTCTAAGCTCCTCTTAAAGAACATCTTGGTACCGTATAGACACTTTTAGATCCAGTTTGGAGAAGAAGGAGGTTTCTATACTCGTAATGTTTGTTTTCGTTCTAACTTTCGGTGTGGTTTTACCTGCCTAATTGATTCGAGAGGAAATGAAATAAATGTTATTGCGGGTAGTTAATCGCCCGATCTTATTCTTGCCCTTGGTTTCGAAGACCGCAGGGAAGGTGATAAGATTGGAGGTAAATTTAAGTAGCTTGTTTTTCGATGTCCGGCTTCGATTTGGGCTCGCGAAGCTGAATCGTGAAGAACACCTGCGCTAAGAATGGCGACGTCTTTCGAAGTGGCTCTTCTGAAACGACCGTAAATGGAGATGGTATCACTGACCAGGTGGATGGAGCAAGTTGCTGAAATGTGAATTGCAAGATGACCTCTAGGCGAAGAAGGTAACCACCAGCTTCTCATATTTTAAAAAATGTATGCTCTAGATCTGATGCCGGAAACTCTCCACCATGACTGCGTTGGGAGTCATCAATAACAACTTTTTGAAAATTGGAACTGCTCGTAAGATTTGGCCAAAACGTCTCAAGTTGGGATTCTCTCACGGAAGCGTTTGGAAAACAACATTAAAATCAATTGCGGTCTTATCAAATAAGGAAACGTGAACCTGTAGGTAGGTACGCGATAGTTAAAGTAATTGCCTGAGTAATGATTTGTAATTAAAGTTTGCGAGGATTTTGCGGTCTCTGTATACTTGATAAATGTGAATCGGTCACCGAATAAATAATAGGGAATACCCTCTTTGTCGCTTAGTTGTTTTTCGACCATTCCCGAAGAACCACATCGTCGCCATTTTCACCGATTCTAAAAAGGTAGGAGTTGATAGTATGCTTTTGGGGGGCGCTTTTTTGTGAATTTTTGGAATTGCCCACGACAGTTTTTGGGTGCTTAAGTCGTTTTTTATACGCTTTAAAGGCTTTTGTAAGAAGTGTGCTAACATCCTTTGTGGTTTGACGGTTTTGTGCGCTATCTATTCTCTCCCTTTTATCGTCACAGTCTCTGGAAATCAATGTCAGAACTAGCGAGGCTTATGAAGTAAAAATTTCCTTTTATTGTTGTTATTTTAGTCAAAGTAAACCCGAAATGTTATATACAGGGTGTCTCATGACGAAAACCGGCTATCAATATCGACCCTAAGCTTATTTTTTTTAATAGAACACCCTGTATATTTTAATTAAAAAAGATAGCATATACCGACGATATTAAAAAAAGATTCAAAAGATCAATCTCGATTAAACAACATGAAATTTTTTTGAATTTTTTAATGTTATATTTTTGAAAAGAGAATTTAATATGATATGTTTTCAGATTAAAATATACAGACTGTTCCATTTAAAAATGAGGATAGGTCCGCTAACTTTTTTACCTGACCCCGTATGCTTTTTTTTGATAACGGAAGAACATTATAAAGAAACTTTTGTAATATACGTTTTTCTGTATCTCTTTTAACTAAAAAAATATAGGGTCATTCTGAAATTGACAATTTTTATGGTTTTTCCTCGTATCTATTAAGTGAGCGAATATTTTCTAATTTTGATGTTACCATTTTAAGCTTTACCCAAAAAGAGCACATTATATATATGGGACACCCTTTACAGTGTCTTATACCTAAATTAGCTATTTTTGAACCCGCAGAAATCGATTGGCGAAGGTTTGACTTCCTTGTTTCTTTTAATTGTCGGGTTAGACGAGAAACATACGGACAAACAGACAGACGGACAAAACACACAAGGGAAATTTTTTTCTTTCGAAAAATTCCTCTAGACATGGCAATTATGGTTGGTCTGCAATCTTCATTTTTCAAATATGTCAAAAACGGATAAATTAAAAAAATACAGGGTGTTCATAGGGTCAACAAACTCCCATTTTCTGATTTTTTGGGAAAGATGCGTTTGATTCTGACAAAAACATATGATTTCTATAGTTTTTACGAAAATTAGTAATTATACGGATGTCACTTATACAGGGTGTTCATATGGTCAATAAGTTCCCGTTTTTTTCCATTTTTAAGGGATTTTGAGGAAAAGTGCGGAAAAAACATAGGAAACCGCGTTTAATTTTAACAAAAAAATAGACCACTTCTACAGGGTGTTCATAAGGTTAATAAATCTCTATTTTCCGACTTTTGAGGGTTTTGGGACGTTTTTCCGGATAATCCAAAATATTTCGCGCTTGATTTTAACAAAAACGGAGGATATTAATTAGCATGTTTTGGACAAATGGCTAATTGCACCATTGTCGTTTGTACAAGGTGTTCAATAACTGTTCACAGAGTCAATCAACTCCCTTTTTTATGGGTTTTTGGGATATTTTTCAGAAAACTTTAAGGAAGATGCGTTTGACTTTGACAAAAGCATAATATTAAGCTGCATCTTTTTAGAAATTAAAATTGTGCCGATGTGATTTTCTACAGGGTGTTCATAAAATCAATGAACTTTTGATTTTAATAATTTTTGGGGCATTTTAACTTAAGTTCTTTAGATACCCCACAACAGCCCAATTTCGGCCACTAATTTACAAGAAAACCATCTACGAAACCAAATCGTTTCTATGAAATGATCACCCTGTACATTTTTAAGGGAAATAGCCCGATCGACGCCACAAAAAATTCGAAAGTGGACGTCAGAGGTGCCTACTTTTTCGTTGCTCACACTCCTATTATCTACATTGTTGTGTTATTTTGTTTTAGTTGTAACTTGAAAGAAATTATAGAGCGTCTGGATGTGACAATTTTGTTTAGTTCAATTAATTAACCGGGGGGGGTTATTAATAATTTGAGACACAGGATTGCGTAAATTTCATGTTATAGTTTTGGTTCAATTTCTTAGAAGTGTTCTGTTTTTATTTTATTCCTAGAATTTTTTTCGATGTAAATTTCTTTTTAAATTTTATTTGCCGTTAACGAGGTATAGCGCGAAGTAGAGATAAGGTTCTTCGCAGAATTGCCGGGCGTACGTGCCGTTTAGCAAGAAGTTGAAAAATCGACGCTTCGCGTGATTGGCGGACGGGATGTTGAAGAAAGGAGAAGGGCTTTTGGCTTAAATAGAAAATTTTTGATGAGAGCGGGGCTTTTTGGTCGTGACAAAGCCAACCGGCGCTTCTTCGGTTACGTTATTTTTGAATTTTGTGGAAGTTTTCCTGCGTAGTTGGATCCAGGTTTAATTAGAATTTTGTGTCTGCCGTTTTAAGAAGAATTATTGAGAAGTTTAAGAAGTTTGTCGTCGTCCTGTTTTTTTTTATTTTGCGGAAACACGGAAGTTTTGAATTTGTGGGTACCCGAAGAGAGAAGACGTCGGTGTTTGAGTGGTTGGTTTACGTGATTGTGTACGGATACCTCTTTTTTATCGGAATACGTTATTCGGACTAATTTTAAAAGTAAGTAGTAGTTAGTGGTTTGTTTTGTCTTGTTTTTTTTGTAATGTTTGAGTAATTTGTTTTTTTTTGTGTGTGTCATTTATCTGTTTAAAATTGTAACATTTTGTAAAACAGAAATTTACGCAATTTTTTGTTTGAAATTAAACCAGTCATTGCAATCCAGGTTTTGTTTATTAGAGTCAAGGAGAGGTAATTGTCGGCGTCTCTTACTTTGTTTCAAGTTTATTAAATCTGGGGGTAAAGTTTCATATTGGAATTTAAGGATTTGGTTAAGCCACCTGTTGACGTCACCCGGAAACCGAGAATTAATATCGGCGGGAGGAAAGAAGGGGAAATGACGCAATGCAGGCATTCAAGACTCTTAAAGCATGAAGCGTAGACGTTTATTTTTATTTGTATTTTCTATATGTATAATGTGTTATCTCGAATAAACGACTTTTCTACATCTATATCGATAACAAAATCAGAAGTGCGATAAGACCTACACAGTGAATTGAAACGAAATGAATGGAACGAACGAGTACGGGGTCCAATATGGCGACGAAAACGAAGTTTCTGATCCGTGCGCTACTGCAAGTGCGTTTGCTGGGCAAACGGAAAACGTGGACCTGGTGCAACTTCTAGTTACGCAAACACGACTAATGGGTCAAATGATGGAACGGTTAGCTTCTGCAACGATGCCACAACCAACGACACCAATTGCAACGACTTATCATGTGATGCCGGACTTGACGAAAGGCGTAGGTACGTACAACGGCGAAAAGTACGGAACTGTCGCCAAAGAATGGCTCCATGGTATAAAGGCAAGCGGATCGATGCATCGGTGGTCCGACGAAGTTAAGTTGGAAACCGCGAGGATCCATCTACGAGGAGCGGCAAAGGCATGGCACGATGCGCGAGACGGTCAGCTGCAAACGTGGGAAAACTTCGAACACGCTTTCGAGAAAACGTTCTGCAGGAAGGCGAGCACCACAGAGCTTTGGGAGGCGATGCGAACAAGAACGCAAAGGTCGAAGGAGGATATCTCGACGTATTTTCACGAAAAGTATAAAATGTGTCGTGACGTAAATCTTGACTTCATCGAGGCCAAAGAGCAGATTCTAACGGGATTAGCGCGAGCCGAAAGCAAAAGTGCATTGCTGACAAAATTCCACGTGGACGCAGACGAGCTTCTACATGACATTCTATCCCTGGAACGGATACATCGTAACGGCAACGACCCCACGAAATCAGCGCATACACGGAAAACCGACGAACCGAAGAAAGAGGTTCATCCGGACGAGACTGCAAGCAGCAAGGGTAAGGCTTCAACAACGACACCAAAACGCTCTCTACGGTGGAACGACAAGGGCGAGCCAAAATGTTACAATTGTAACCTCTATGGACATCTATCCAGAGATTGTGATAAACCGAGAAAACAAAACCACACGAACGACGACACAAAAAAAACGGAAACCGCCGCACGGGTACATCTTGTGGAGGACGCGAAGGCTCTAAAATATCTGAAGGACGTGACGGTCGATGACGTCCATTTTCTATCCGGTATGATCGACGGAGGGAGTAGCATCTGCACCATAAGGAAGGAAGTTGTGGAGCGCGAAGGATTAAAACCCGAAAGGGCACAATTACCTCTATACGCATTTGGTAGTACAACGCAACCAGCGGTAGTGTGCAACGCAAAGGTGAACGCGATTCTCCAGGTAGATGGTGTGAAGGCAAACGTAGAACTATGGCTCGTTGAAGAAGGTGTCCAGACCGCGGACGTTATTGTGGGACGTTCATACACAGAACAATCACACGTAGCGTATTATAAAGTAGGTGACAGCCTGGTGTTTGGAAGCCACGACGACGACGTTTTCAAGCATCTAAACGAGAGAAAAACGCGACGAGTACCACTTACGGTTATGAAGAACTCCGATCTCAAACGTGGAGAAGTTAACGTGATCCAAGTCGACGCAGCGGGAAAAGAGCATTCGGTACCCGTGATCATTGACGAGAACGTGAAAGTGCGTGCAGGGCAGGTAATAGGATACGTTCGAGGCAACGAAAACGCGAACTACGTGGGGGTGAAAAACGAATCTTTGACTTTGAGTAATATCACGCGAAACGACTTGAATTTACCAAAGGACGTCACCAACGAGCAAGCGACGCAAGTGCTGGATTTGGTTAATGAGTTCCGCGATTGTTTCGCTACGTCAATTCGCGAAGTTCGGTGCACGAATTTACTAGAAATGGACATAGAGGACAGCGATCGACCAGTTCGAAGTGCGCCGGTACGTCAAAGTGCGGTTGAACGGGAGATCACTAAGAAAATTGTGCGTGAATGGAAAGACCTTGGTATCGTTACCGAAACGGAGTCTCCATATGCATCACCGGTCCACTTGGTGCAAAAGAAGAGTGGGGAACCAAGACTCGTGGTAGATTACAGGAAATTAAATGCTCAGACCGCAAGACAAAATTTTCCGTTGCCAAACATGGACGAGATGTTTGAGAAACTGTCGGGCTGCAAAGTGTTTACATCTTTGGATCTAATGAGCGGGTATCTTCAGGTGCCACTTACAGAACGCGCCAAGGAAAAAACGGCATTTATTACGAGTGACGAAACAGGACGGTTCGAACGAATGATATTTGGACTTACGAATGCTCCGTTTGTGTTTTCGCGACTTATGCAAATGGTATTAGGACCAATTAAGAATTCGAATGTAGTGTGGTTCATGGATGACATTTTAGTGCCGGGACGAAATTGGAGTGAAATGTGCGAGGACCTTCGAAAGGTATTGTGCGAATTACGCAAGGCAAACTTAACTTTGAATTTGCGAAAGTGCGTATTCGGACAAGTAGAAATTGAGTTTTTAGGATACGTGGTTTCTAACGGTACCGTGAAGCCAGGACGATTAAAGACAAGTGCAATAGAAAATTACCCGCCGCCCAAAAATCCACACGAGGTAAGACGCTATTTGGGATTAACGGGATATTTTAGACGGTTTGTGCATCGGTACGCAGAACGCGCGCGACCTTTAACAAACTTAACGAAAAAGGAAATCCCATTTAAATGGGGAATAGAGGAACAATCCGCGTTTGAATTTCTGCGAGACGCACTCACGAGGGAACCTACGCTTGCAATTTATGACCCGAGGTTTTCGACCCAGTTACATTGTGATGCGTCAGCCGACGGACTTGCAGGAATTTTGATGCAAAAGGGATCGGATAACGCGTGGAGAGCAGTTTATTATCTTTCAAAGAAAACTACAGACGTGGAACGCAATTACCATTCCAGTAAATTAGAACTAATGGCCATCGTGTTTTGCGTGAATCGTCTACGCCCGTATTTGATTGGTATCCATTTTGAAATAATCACGGACTGCCAAGCTCTTACGTATTTGAACGCCCAACGAACAGCTAACCCGCAGATCGCCAGGTGGTATTATATTTTGTCGGAATACGATTGTGAAATAAAACATCGACCGGGAACTCGTATGGAGCACGTGGACGCTTTGTCTCGATCACCCACCGAAGAACCGGGAAGCGTGGAAGAGGAAACCGAGAGCAGAGGCGTGGTTTTCCAGCAGATGAGCTACGAAGACTACATTTTGCTAATTCAACGCGGGGACAAGGAATTGAAAAAATTCATCGAGATTCTGCAGCGCAAGGATGACGTCACGGCAGACGAAAGGCAGCTAGTGCAAGATTACGTGCTGGAAGGGGGGAGGTTATTACGAAAGGTGAAGATTCAGGGAGAAACAAGAAAATTATACGTAATTCCGAAATCCATGAGAAAAACGATTCTTATAAAATTTCACGACCAGCTAGGCCATTTTGCGTTAGACCGTACTGTCGACAAAATTTTGGAATTGTACTGGTTTGCAGGAGTGCGCCGATATGCGAGACAACACATCCGAGCGTGCTTAGCGTGTGCCTTAAACAAAATCCCAGGGGGTAAACAACAGGGACTGTTACACCCAATACCTTTCCCAACACGGCCGTTTGAACGAATCCATTTGGACCATCTAGGACCATTTGTGACGACTTCTAAGAGAAATACACATCTCCTAGTAGCGACGGACGCATTTTCCAAATATGTACGAATGTGGGCCGTGAAGAGTACCAAGACTAAGGGCGTACTTTCCGCTTTTCAGGAATATGTGAATTTTTACGGATTACCAGAACGTGTAATTACAGACCGGGGAACGTGTTTTACCTCGCGAGAATTCGAAACATTTTGTGAAATGAACGGGATTAAACACACTTTAAATTCGACGCGCCATCCAAGGGCTAACGGGCAGGTTGAACGAGTGAATCGAGTGATAATACCAGTTATCAGTGGTATGTTAGTGCACAGTGACTCACGCGAATGGGACACCAAAATTGGGGAAGTTCAGAGAAATTTAAATTGTCAGGTGAATAAAACTACGGGGAAAACGCCATTCGAGATTGTTTATGGTTTTAAGGCGCGCCATGTAGACGGCGAATTACGTTTGTTGGCACCCGACGCGAACGAAGATTGTAATTTTAAAGAGGAACGGGAGTCCACACATAAACAAATACGTGATCGAGTTACGCGTGAGCAAGAGAAGCAAACATCGTACTTTAATAAAAAGAAATCTACGGGATACAATTACGATGTAGGCGAATTGGTTTTTATGCGCCGAGCTCCGGAAGTAACGGGAGAATCTACCAAATTACAGGCGAAGTATAGGGGACCTTTAACCGTGACCCAAATTTTACCAGGAGACACGTATCGAGTCGCTGAAATCCAACCCGAAGGAAGACGTGCTTTCATAACAACCGCGCATGTATCTCAGTTAAAATCCTACAAAAACCACGAGGACACGGAAGACGAAGACGAGTCGGAAGAAGAATTGGAACAGGAATTAGACAACACAACGTACCCAACGAACGACCGCGATCAGGAAGAACGAGCGGTAAACGACGACTGCTCTTCAGAAGCAGAAGAATTTGTTTACCAGCCAGTTCGGCCGACTCGCGTAAGGAAGTTACCATCGAGGCTGGAGGACTACGTCGTGACCGATTACGCGGGGACGCGAAATTGTCAGGAGAACCCGGATGTTGACGTCACGCCGGAAACCGAGAATTAATATCGGTGGGAGCGAACTGAGGAAAGAAGGTGAAATGACGCAATGCAGGCATTCAAGACTCTTAAAGCATGAAGCGTAGACGTTTATTTTTATTTGTATTTTCTATATGTATAATGTGTTATCTCGAATAAACGACTTTTCTACATCTATATCGATAACAGGTTGAATAGCTTTTTTTTAATGGAACATAAGGAAATAGCATTGCATGCAAAATCGTATGTTCCAGTTTAAGATAAACGCACTGTATAATTGACTCCTGAAAGTTGAACCGTACAAACACCACTATCAAGAAACCGCATGAATCCATGGAGGCCTGGGGAAAGTCACTTACTCACTCACTACCATCCCAACAACAGGAGATGGGCGAAACCATGCATAAGGATTTTGTGAGGAACGTCATTATCTAATGCGGGAAAACTACTGTCAGGGACGAAATCCGCTCTTCTTGGGTCATGAGTGCCTTCCTAGTATGCTTGGCCCAGGACGCTCATCCAAGGAGGCATCAGTGCTTGTACTGGACGTGGCACAGTTTTCGGGGAATATACAAATATTTACCCGCTGCCACACATAGAAAGCAAAATGGCGCCTAACATCACGAGAATAGATGCAGTCTGGGACACATATCACGATGGCCCGGGACAAACGAGGTGACACTTCAGTCAGGGGGTCGATCTAGAGTGTCTGCAAAAACGCTTATACCACAGGATTAAGAATGGGTTAAATTCTGATCAAACTCCAACAATAAACACTGGTGTTTCATATCCAGTGCTCACCACAAACGATAATAAGAGATTAATAAGATTCCAATCCATCACATCTGTCAACAGCTTGGACCTGAATATTCTGAAGCCCCTCTGTTTTTCCATGAGTAGAAGACCTATGTGACTTCTGAATCAGGAAGTGACGTCACACCAATCAGAGGCGAGCTCGTGACGTCACAGCCAATCAGAGACGAGCACGCCCCCATATGTCCCTCCCCTTGACCAATGGGATACGGTAAGCGTAGTCTTTAGAGTTCGCCCTCTATGACGTCACAGTCAATGAGGGCTGAGGTCCGCCATTTTGTTGGGCGCCATTTTGGATCGAACGCCATTTCATTAGTCACTAGATCCACCATCTTGGATCGGCCGCCATTTTATTAGTTACTAAATCCGCCATTTTGGACCGTCTGTATCTGTCTGCTTCTCTCGCTCCATCCGCCATCTTTGTAGTTATTTTGGAGCACGTCATCGGTCATGTGGTTGCTATAGAAAATATATTTTTTTTAATTTTCGTTGGGAATCGAACCCACCACCAAATTTCAAAGACTTGGCACAAAGTGCACGATTGTTATGAATTCCCCCTCTCCACATTAACCTAAAAAAATTCATTTTTTCGAAATTCACCTTTGTAATTAATTTTATTTTACTAGGAAATTGAAAGTACACTTGCGGCAAATAATTAATTTGTGACACTTGCTGAACAATCTTCTGGCTAATAGAAGACTGCTTGAAGGGGGGTTGCTAGATGAGGCTGTACACCGTCACTTGTACAAATTGAAGACTGGAAACCTCGCAACCCCAACGACTAAACGACATTCAAATCGATAGTGATTTATTGAGTATTATTTACAGTTTTTATATACAATTAATTATGACGTATTTGTGTTTGTTTGACATAGTGTCCTTATTTCTTATTGCATTAGTTGGCATACGTTGCATTTTACGTATGCAATTATAGTACCTAATTTTCCATTGAAACTTGATGCCTTTGTAGTATTTCGCGGCCAGAGTGCTGGCTTGCGTTTCACAACTCTTAATAAATTGCTACCTTATGAATTAATGATAATGTAATAACTGTAACCTAGTTCTAATTATACTATTGCGACAGCGATGTATTTGCCGCAGCTTCCTTGTTTCTCTGTTTAATATCTTTTGGTATTAAACATTCTGCCAACTCGGCGATGGATCTGTGTCGACGATGTCCAAAGGTTCCATCGTCATTGGGTCTTCTTTTCTAGTTGCCTCCTTGTGTTTGGTTTTCCATGTTTTTGAGTCCAAATATGACCCCAATGGTGCTGATGATGATAAGTATAGTTATGGTGCTTGTTGCGACCGATTTAGTCGTAACCGTACGCCAGATGGTGTTGTGTATGTCGTTTTGTAATTCTGCTTCTTCTTTGATGATGGACCCAAAGTGGTCTTCTGCCTTTAGGACTGGTTCCTCTTCAATCAATTTTTGGTCGGGCATCCTGGTATCTTGGTTGATACGTGTGTTTAAATGTTTGATGTACGTACCAAGTACTGATGTGTCGAAGTCCCGTTTGGGATTTAATATGTTTCGTCTTGTTTGAACTAAACAGTCTTGAGATACCTTGAGAATTCCAGTTGCATTTAATACTACGTCCTGTCGTTTGTTATTACATGTTACGGCTACCCTCGTTGGTTGTGCGGTGACGAACATCCATGTGTTAGTCATATAAAGTTGTTTCCACACAATATCCTGGAAGTGGTGTTGTTGGATGCTGCATTGATTCTTCTCTGTCCTATTATACATCTCGTTGATGATACAGTTTGGATTTTCTTCGATCTTTTTTACTACTGTTGGTGCACAAACGAACTTGTGTTTAGCGATTTTGATACTTTCTTTGAATTCTTCATTTGTCATCTCGAAATATTGCTGGTTGTTGTAATCCACTGCTAGCACCCCGTTGATGGATTCCAATGTCCAGAAGGTCGTGTTTTCAATTTTGATCGGAATAGATGTAATTTTCATAATCACATATTCTGTGATCTCTGCCACCAGAAAAAAGCCCTGGACGTGGATGTGAGTGTCTGTTTGTTTTACTGCTACCCTTAGCACTGGATGCGCTAATACCCTTACGTTGCTTGGCATTTTCTTCTCTGCTTCGGATAGGATTATCTTGATTCTGATGTCTGATATGAGTTCGTGAAGACTTCCTCTTCCGTTGTTGATATTGATTACCTTTTTGTAGTGATGCTGGACTTCGTTTGCTAAGGTTACCGTGATGGTGTATATACTTAGCACTTGTAAATTTAGTCTGTTCTCGTCGACTGTTCTGTACCATTTGCTCATTTGATTTATCATTTGAATTCCTTCATTTAGCTTTCGGTGGAATCTTTGTAACTGCTTCTCAATCTTTGTCTCGGTTTCGTTGAAGGCTGATAGTGCTGATAACATAATCTTCGTCTGTCTGTCCGCATTTCTGATAATTTCTTGCTGATTTTTGTTCAGTGAGGCGATGTCCTTATATACTTCATCGTTGACTCCGAATACTGCTGTAAGTATGTCCCCCAATATTCCTCGCTTCCTTCGTTCAACCATCGTGCTGCCTATTTCTTCCTTTAACCATTGTATTTCATTTTCGTGATCCTCGAGAAGTTGCACTAATTCGGTACAGTGTGAATTTTCTGCTATTTCTGCTGTCTTGTTGCATAGCTCCTTGAACTGTGTAATTGATTGCAGCGTTGCGTGGATGTCTTCATTTATCCGTGTTTTCTTGTATTGAATATCGATCCGGAAAATTCCTCGTTCAATCCTTCCATCTCCCATGTGTTCTATGTAAAACCCTGGGTTTGGATGCGTGATGTTGTACTCTGCCACTGTAGTGCCTATCATCATCATTAGTATGGTGACAACAATTGCTTTTATGCTGAAACTCTTCATCTCTTGGTTGTTTCCTGCGGCTGATTTTTTCTGTGCATCTTCTGAGTGTAGGGGGACTAGTTGATGTATTGCTTTTTTGGACGTTTTCCCGTCTGCCTTTTGGGTTGTTACTACTCGCACTATATTATCTTCTGCTGGATGAGTCGCTATCACCTTTGCTAGCGGCCATTTTCCTGGGCTGAGGTTGTCATCTTTGACGAGTACTATGTCGTTGATTTTTATGTTGTCGTTCTTGGTTTTCCATTTGTAGCGTTGTTGTAAGTTGTGTAAGTACTCTGATGACCATGCTTTCCAGATTTCCTTTTTCATTTTCTGTACCATTTTCCACCTGTTACTGAGGCCTATTTTTAAATCCTCTCCTGTTTCTTCCAATGGTTCCAGTATTGGTCTCCCGATTAGGAAATGTCCTGGTGTCAATAATGTATCTTCGTCCATTACTTCTCGGATGGGCACTAATGGTCTCGAGTTGAGACACGCTTCTATTTGTTGTACTAGCGTTGTTAGTTCCTCATATGTTAACGTTGTTTCGCCAATTGTTCGTCGCATGTGATGTTTTAATGATTTTACACCACTTTCCCAGATACCGCCCATGTGAGGACTTGCGGGAGGGATGAAGTGCCATTGGGTTCCTGCTGTAGTTGATGCGTCTTGGATCTCCTTGCTTTGTAATATCTTGTGGACATCTTGCTCTATCATTTTGCTGGCTCCTACGAAGTTTGTTCCATTGTCGCTGTATATGTGCTGACACCGGCCTCGTCGTGCTTGAAACCGTTTTAGGGCTGCCAAGAATGATTCTGTTGTCATGTCGCTGACCACCTCCAAATGGATTGCCCGTGTTGCTAAACATACGAACACGGCTATGTACCCTTTGTACGATTTATGACCTCGACCTTTCCATGCCCTGACCTGTATAGGGCCTGCGTAGTCTATTCCACAATGCTGGAATGGCGCGGATGGTGTAACTCGTGCTGCCGGAAGATCCCCCATCAATTGAGTCGCTGTTTGTTTCTTGTAACGAATGCATCTTGCGCACTTCCTTATTGTTCCTTGAGCGGTTCTTCTCCCGTTGATGATCCAGTATCTTCTTCTCAAGTATGCTAAGGTGATCTGTAGTCCTCCATGCAGTGTTTTCTGGTGTGCATCTATTATTAATAGATGCGCCAGATGTGACTTTGCTCCAATAATGCACGGGTGCTTCTCACTGTATGTTAGCAATGAGTTGGATAATCTTCCTCCTACTCGCAGTACTCCGTCCTGGTCTATGAATGGATTTAGGGATGTGATCTTGCTGCCTGTTGGTATTTTCTTGCCTTTCGTTAAGGCTTGTATTTCGATCAGGTGAGTTTCTTGTTGTGATCTTCTTATCTGCTGGATTAATCCTTTTTTCAATTCTTCTACTGTTAAGTGTTCTGTTGATTTCTGGTTCTTTCTGCAGTATGATATAAACCGGTTGCAGTATGCTGTGACTCTGATTAACTTTGTTAGCGACGAGAATCTTTCTTGCATCCACTGACCGTCTTCTTCTGTTTTTGTAATTACCATGCATTTTCTTGTTTCTAAGTTTGTTGTCGGTGTGGCCTTTTCACTTGATTTCCAGTCCTCGCTTGCTAACCATTTTGGTCCATTCCACCATAGTTCGTTTGTTTTTAGTTTGAACCCTGTTGTCCCTCTTGATATTAGATCAGCGGGATTGTCATTTGTGCAGACGTGATTCCATTGCTCCTTCGACGTTAAATTGTTTATCTCCATTACTCGGTTGTATACGAATGTCTTCCATCTGCTTGGCTCTCCTTTTATCCATGCCAGAGTAATCATTGAATCTGTCCATGCGAAGATGGTAATGTCTTTTTCCTGGAGTGCTGTTGTTGCTCTCTTGATCAGCCTGGCTAGTAGAACGGCTGCACATAATTCCAACTTCGGTATTGTTGGCTTCGTGCGTGCAGGGGCTACCTTGGATTTTGCCATTAGCAGTGACACTTTCCCTTGGCTGGCTTTTGTGTAAACTACCGCCCCGTACGCCTTCTCTGATGCATCACAGAACCCATGTATCTCCAATGTTTCGTTCTTGTTATGTATCCATCTTGGGATCTGAATTTCCTCGACTGAGCCAATGTCGGAGGTGAACTTCAACCATTCCATCCTTAAACTTTCCGGTATGTTTTCGTCCCATGAAGCGTTTGTTAACCATAATCGTTGGATGAGCAGCTTTGCCATTATGGTTACGGGTGCCAACCATCCTAATGGATCGAATATTTTTGCTACTGCTGATAATATACCACGCTTGGTCGTTGCGGGATTGCCTTCTTCTATCTTAAATGTGAACACGTCTTGATGTGGTATCCACAGTATCCCTAATGACTTCTTCATTTCTTCGTCCTTGAATTGTGATACGGATGGATCTCTTAATTCGTCAGGGATTGATTGTAGCATTTGTAGTTTGTTCGTTGACCATTTGTGTAGCTTGAATCCTCCTTTGTCTAGCATGGCTGTTAGCTCTTGTTGTAGTTGGTTGGCTTCCTCGAGGGTTTGGGCCCCTGTTAGCACATCGTCCACATAGAAGTCGGTTAACGCAACCCTTGATGCGTTAGGGTATTCTTTTTCTTCGTCCTTCGCGAGTTGTTGTAGGGTGCGTGTTGCCAAATAAGGTGCTGCAGTTGTCCCATATGTAACTGTGGTTAGCTGGTATTCTTGTATGGGTTGATGCTGATTGAATCTCCAGAGTATGGTCTGCAGTGGTTGATCGTCCTCATGTATGTTTATTTGACGATACATTTTTTGTATGTCTGCTGTGAACGCTACCGGGTGTTTTCTCCATCTCACCAGGATGTCTGCCAATTCTTCTTGCAGTCTTGGTCCCACGTGCATGGTTTGATTGAGGCTCTTTCGTGACCGTGTGGTTGCGGACGCGTCAAACACGACTCTTAACTTTGTTGTGGCACTTGCTTCCTTGATGACTGGTTGATGTGGAATGTAGTATCTTCCTTCTCCCTTGGGGGGTACTAGTTTCATGTGGCCCAGGTCTATGTACTCCTGAAGGAACGCTTTGTACTGCTCGCGTACTCGATGCTCCTTTTCTAGCTTCTTTTCCAATTGGTGCAGTCGAGCTACTGCTAGCGAACGGGAACTGTTAACCATGGTAGGCGCTTCTTTAAATGGTATCCTCACTGTATACCTTCCATCTCGCCCTCTTGTGGTGGTGGCCATATAATGGTTCTCACATTGTATGTCTTCTTCTTTGGAGCGGCTTGACACCTCGACTTCCTCCATTTCCCAGTATTTTGACAGGTTTCTTTCTTCTTCCATTGTTGAAACCATCCCGATGACTGGTGTGCCTTTTTTCTCTGGATACATGACTTGATCGGACACTATCCATTCCAATTCGGTCTGCTGTCCTAGCAATGCAGACGCCGTTTTTGTAACACCGTTTAGTATGATTTTGGCGTAGTCTTGGGCTCCCAGTAGCACATGTATTGGACCTGTGATGTTGAGGGTTGGGTCTGCTAGGATCTTGGTCTGCCATGGTTCCAAATCGAATTCCATTGACTTCATTGGTAACATCCCAGTTATTTTCGGTAACACGATGAGGTCTGTTGTCAGTGTGTATTTGCTAGACTGACGAGGGTGGAGATGTACCGTCACTTTTGCTCTTGCGTTGATCGGACTTCCTTCTCCCAATCCAGATATCATTGCCCTTGTTTTCTGCCTGGGTACCATCAGTTGCTGAGCTGCTTGCTCGGTGATGAATGACGCTTGGGATCCTGGGTCTACCAGTGCTCGTAGTAGATGGCGTTGTCCCAGGATGTCTTGGGCCCGTACTATTGCTGTTGCCAAGAGGACTTGTTGATCTTCTTCCTTGACTTCCATTTGTTTGGCTGCTGTAGATGCGTGGGACATCGCTTGGCTTCCTCTTGTGGCTGGAGCTGTCCTTGAGGTTTGGTGTAGTAGCGAGTGGTGAGGGTACCTGCATGTAGAACAGTTTTTAAACGAGTCCGTATTGCAGCTATGGCGTATGCACTTAAAGCATAACTGTTGCTCTTTTACAATTTTGATTCTTTCGGCAACGGATAGTTTGCCGAATTTTGGGCACATTTCGATTTGGTGTTGTTCCTTACAGTATGTGCAGTTTGGTTGCTTATTTCCGACCCAGTTAGGCTTGTATGATGATGGTGGTTGATCTCCTCTCTTCATTGCTAACGCCTCCAGAGATTGGAATCTTGACTTCATGAACTCCATCACTTCCTCTAGTGCCGGCGTCTCGGTTGGATTTTTGAGAGACTGCTCGAATATCCTGTTAGTTTCTGTGTCCCATTTTCTGGAAATAAGTTTTGTTATTATTGGACCCCATGAGGTTGTATCATGTCCGATGTTGTTGATCCCTTCCCGACACTCGTGTATTGTATCGTGAAGCATCCTCACTTGATGTGCATCTTCTTTATGGCTCACCGGGAAGTCGAGTATTTTGTCCAGTAATTTTGATGTAATTAGTCTCGTGTTGTGGTACCGCTTGGTTATTATGTCCCATGCTGTTTCGTAATTCCTCTCGCTGATGTGTAGATGTTGAATCAACCTGGCAGCTTCTCCATCCACATGACTTTTTAAATAGTGCATTTTTTCTGTGCTGGATAACGCGTCGTTGGAGTGAATTAATTTCTGAAACAGGTCATGAAATGCTGTCCAATTCTCATACCCAGTCCTGAAGATGGGGATCTTGATTATCGGCAGTTTTATCTTACTGCTCGAATTCTGCATTTCCATATTGGCGATTTGCTCCTGGAAAGCATCGTATCGCCTTTGTGCTTCTACGTATCTCTCGGTGGCAAAGTATTCATGAACGAACTCTATTTCGTTGGCCCTTATTTCTATTTCAATCCTCGCCTATTCTGTCCCAACATTTTTCGGCCCTATCACATAGCACCTTTATTCGGCTGCTATTCCGTGATTGTTTTTTGAGTTCGTCCTCCACCTGAAATAATAATTGTTCGATCTGAGTGATACGAACCTCCTGTTTCCTAATCCGCATCTCCTGTGCGGTGTCGCGTTTTTCGTGTTCTCCCTCTGTTTTTATCGACCTTTCTATCTTGTCCAGGTAGTCGCTGGCCTTGAGGTGAACGTCTTCCAACTGCCCTATGAAGTTGGTCTTGTGGTACTCGTGCTGTGGTTCTTTTAATTCCACTATCTTCTGGTGGTTTATCTTCACAGCCGAAATGTATCCTTGTAACTGACGGCGCCGGTCTGCTATGTAATTCACTGTCTTTCTATCCGCTGGATCTTTTTTCAGGTTGGCCAACAGTTTTCCCATCTGTTGGCCCAGCTCCTGCTGTTGGGTGGCGAGGGTGTTCATTGGCTCCATTTTCCTCGTTCCCTAAAATGCTTATTGCTTATTATCTGATTCCTCACCTTGGTAATCAGCTAGCAGTTTCTTTGTTGCCGCCGGGAATTTATTTTCCTTCGGGCGTTGCAGATCCGTGCGTCCTTTTGCTCCTGCGGCGTGTTTCCGTCTTCTTGAAACGGTGTTTTTTTTTTTTTTTCGTGCAGCGTTGGTGTGGCTTCTTGCGGCCTTTATTTGTTTTAAATCTTCTTACCCGACTATTCGATGGTGGTTATGTTGTTGCTGTGAGGGGCGTAAATCCTTACAGTTTTCGGGTTGCTTCTTCTGCTGCTACGTTCTCTCTGTCGCTGGTCGTGTTGCCCTGGCGCTTCTGTATCTTCCTTGCCGCTGGTGTTGGCTCGAAGGACCATGAACAATCTTCTGGATAATAGAAGACTGCTTGACGGGGGGTTGCTAGATGAGGCTGTACACCGTCACTTGTACAAATTGAAAGACTGGAGACCTCGCAACCCCAACGACTAAACGACATTCAAATCGATAGTGATTTATTGACTATTATTTACAGTTTATATATACAATTAATTATGACGTATTTGTGTTTGTTTGACATAGTGTCCTTATTTCTTATTGCATTAGTTGGCATACGTTGCATTTTACGTATGCAATTATAGTACCTAATTTTCCATTGAAACTTGATGCCTTTGTAGTATTTCGCGGCCAGAGTGCTGGCTTGCGTTTCACAACTCTTAATAAATTGCTACCTTATGAATTAATGATAATGTAATAACTGTAACCTAGTTCTAATTATACTATTGCGACAGCGATGTATTTGCCGCAGCTTCCTTGTTTCTCTGTTTAATATCTTTTGGTATTAAACACTTGCTTACTTTTGGTTCTTTTGTTTTTTTATCAATCACCACCAGCTTACTCCAATGTATACACATGTAATTCATTAATGGGTAGGTACTTTTGTGCAAAAATATTTGAATGACCTAAAAAGCTATGAAGGACACCTTATAAAAATTGAAGAGAACACAAGACAATCGAATACGAAATAAAATAGTGGTAGTTCCATTTGAAAAAGAATAGTTATTGCCGAGGTTATGGCACTTGAACAAATGGCATTGAAACAAAATATTATTCTATTAAAAAAAATCAGTTATTTAAATGACCCGTAAAAATGGGACCCTAAATACAATCAAAAATAATTTCTGTATATCCGCAACCATATACAGCGTGTTGCATCAACAGGCGGGACATGGGATATCCCATGGTAAATTTGGAAGGAAGTTAATTATTGGCTTCCCTAATTATTGTTGAGGAAAAACCTATTTAGAGATTATTTGAAAGAGCATTAATCCCGCCTCTAAAGAATTCTTTCGATGTTTTTTGATTAACTCGCTTAACGAGATATTGGCAAAAAATATTTTTGTATACAGGGTGTCTTAAATATAGAAGGATAACATGGTTATCTTTCTTATTATTATAACTTACGAGATTCTGTTTAAATTTGCAAAGTTGTGTAGTTTTGATGCTAATGGATATTCCCGATGCGATATTTTGAAAAAACTAATTCGTTTTGTAGATTATTGGAAAATGTGAAAATCGCTATTTTAAAAAGTTTCAAATATTTAGTAACAAAGAAAGCTATCGAAAAAAGTTTCAAATAAAAGTTGCAAGGATTCGATGGGATCAATTCAATGGAATTTTTTTTTTTAATGTCGAGATATTGCCATCAACGTTCCTTATTTTTAAATGGACGCCAATTGGATTTTCACGTCAATCGATAGATAAAAAATTCCAAAACCAGTGATACTAAACACTTAGTATTTCATTTTGTAATAATAATAGTGGCTTTATTTTTTTTGTTTTATTCATAATTTCAAAACAAAAAGATGTAAATAGTAACAACTAACAAAAACAAATTTAAATGAATGAAACAAAATATACATGTACCTAAGTTAGAGCCAAGACCATTGTAGGTATTCAAAACATAAACATAAATTGAGGAAACATTTACACCAAAGAGGAAACCCGGGCATTTTGTAATATGTTATGCCGCATATATACAGGGTGGGACCTCTCACAGTAGAACAAAGTTACAAAGAAAATCTAATAGTCTTAAAATGATGAACACTGCAAGCACCTTTTTTCTGTAATTCAAATAAGCTCTTAAGCAAATTAGAGATTACAATGCATTTAAACTATCCAATCCGCAACGAGTAACTATATTAGGGCCCTTAAGGTCGATTCTCACTTTCGGGCAAGGCACGTACTCGGCACAGGCAAGGCATCGACTCGGCAAAATATCTATATTATTGAATCTTATGAATTTTTTGGGGTGTAATTCACACTATGCGAGCAAAGACTCGGCAAGCTACGGCCTTTGCACGCGGCATTCTTCCGAAACAATATTTGCGGGCATGTACCGTGCACGTTCCGACAAGTGTGAATACAATCTGTGCAGGTCACCGACTTTAGTTCAGTTTTCATAGTACAAGAAACGTTGAAGGGTCAGCAAAGGAACACTTTTTCAGCGGAACAAGATGAGATGCTGATTAAATGTGTCCGAGAAAATGATTTCGGTCATAAAAGATACTTCTTATGCATTTTATGTACACAAAAACGTATTTTTCTTTTTCTGCAATATGTACTTTCTTGTTCTTCATCATCTAATATTAGACCAATTTTAATTAACGTGGAAGTTTCGAACATTTTCACAGCAGAAACTCACGTAGAAACTGCTTACCTGCGGCAAGCGTGTCGCAGTGTGAATTGAACTCAAAAAACTTTGCCCGTGCCGAGTATGTGCCGTGCAGTTGCCGAGCCGGTTCTTTGCACGAAAGTGAGAATCGGCCTTTATTGTGTCTGTGTAAAGGTACAAGGCTAAACTATCATAGGAAAAGTGGGCTTGACTCTATTTTTCTTGATAAATTGAATTCGGGCTATTATGTTGTTATGCTAATCACAAAATAACGGGACTTTAATGAGAAACACATGTTAAAATTAAAATGTTTGACTTTTTTTTTTAGTATGGTTGGTATTGGGGTCCCATATCGAGCGAAGCCGCAGAGAAAGTCCTTTCGAACGAGCCGGATGGATCGTTCATAGTACGAGACAGTAGCGACGACCACTACATATTTTCGCTTACCTTGAAGTTGAACAATTCTGTGCGACACGTTCGCATAGAGCACGACCAAGGTATTTTTTCCGCCCCTCTTCTTTTCCAATTCAAGTTCTAACCGTACATTTACAGGAAATTTTAGTTTCGGGAGTTGTACTAAGTTTAAGTCGCAAACGATAGTGGAGTTTATCGAGAATGCGGTCGAGCACTCTCGAAGTGGGCGGTACTTGTTCTTTTTACATCGACGGTCCGTTATTGGACCAGTACGTGTGCAATTACTCCACCCGGTTTCTAGATTAAAGGTCGATTCTCACTTTCGTGCAAGACACGTACTCGGCACAGGCAAGGCACCGACTCGGCAAAATATCTATATTATTGAATCTTATGAAATTTTTGGGGTGTAATTCACACTATGCGAGCAACGACTCGGCAAGCTACGGCCTTTGCACGCGGCGTTCTTCCGAAACAATATTTGCCGGGCATGTACCGCGCACGTTCCGACAAGTGTGAATACAATCTGTGCAGGTCACCGACTTTAGTTCAGTTTTCATAGTACAAGAAAGGTTAAAGGGTCAGCAAAGGAACACTTTTTCAGCGGAACAAGATGAGATGCTGATTGAATGTGTCCGAGAAAATGATTTCGGTAATAAAAGATACTTCTTATGCATATTATGTACACAAAAACGTATTTTTCTGTTTCTGCAATTTGTACTTTCTTGTTCTTCATCATCTAATATCAGACCAATTTTAATTAACGTGGAAATTTCGAACATTTTCACAGTTGAAACTCACGTAGAAATTGCTTACCTGCGGCAAGCGTGTCGCAGTGGGAATTGAACTCAAAAAACTTTGCCCGTGCCGAGTATGTGCCGTGCAGTTGCCGAGCCGGTTCTTTGCACGAAAGTGAGAATCGGCCTTTAAGCAGATTCAGAGTTTGCAGCACATGTGCAGGTATTTACATCGCAAGTTTTAAGCAATTAAGCAGCACTCACTTTTCAGATTCGTCATATTAAAATTGGTGCGACGAGATTTACTTTGTAAATTACCGTTGCCGAGACGAATGACCGATTACTTAAATACACCGTACTATTACTCGGAGCAGCTCTCCGACGTAACCGAAGAGCAAGAAGAGAATAATGTGGTGCCCTTATTTAGTAATGCGCAAATTACACAAAATACGGTTGTCATTGTGAATAACAATGCCATCACGACCACAACTAGGAGTAATCCTAGCGGTACTAGCAACTCATCTAGCAATGATAGACAATCCTGAAATATACCTCAGTTAGGGATCTGTTTGTTCGTTTGTCAGAAACGTGTGTAACTTTCTACTACAACCCATTTTTGATAATGAATTACATATCATCGCTATATTCATTGCGCTTAACTGTAATCATTTCATTCGTTCATTGCTACTTAAATGTTCTCCTCTAATATAATATAAATTGTAAATTCATACATTTTGTATACAATTTTTAGTGTTGTTTCTATTATTTATTCATTAAAGTTTTGTTGTTTGTATCAGTTTTTTCTTAGTTGCATACCAGAAAGTCATTGTTTCAGATTACTACTGGAGGTTTTGAAAGGAAGACAGAGTGATGGGCAAAATAATCGAAAAGAAAATTGCTACCACTGTTTGAAAGAGTGGCATCCCCGAAACGTTTGTCCTGCACACAACTTGTCACACATGTAAGACGAAGGGACACTAGCAAATTGATTGTCATTGGCAATAGGTGAACATGGTCAAAGAAAATGACTATTTAAAATGAAAATGAAAGTCTACTTGCAGGAAATTTATACATAACACCGGACATGCGCAATAACATTTTTACATAACTATACTGCATTCATAATAAGAAGGTAGTAGATGGTGCTATTTTTGAAGATAAGCACACACAGGAAAAATATAAAACTACACCAAAGTAGGAATATCCAGCCCTGTGAATAGAAATAAACCAAACAATTCCAAGCTTGGATTTTTGCATTAACGCTAATGACAGTTCGACAGTTTAGTTTGAGATTCTGGGGACATGAGCCACCGCCATCACCACCTGTCGATATTTTTTTGGTAGTTTCCGGAGGATGTTTGGGGTGGGAGTGCTTGGCGTCACTTCATCACTTGTTTGTTAAAGCTTGTTGGTGGTGGGCTTATTGTATTTTAAGTTGTATTAATAGAGTTTAGCTTTGTTTTTGGTGTTTGTGCGTAGGATTCAACAACTTTGGTGTCCGGTAAAGTATTTTATGTAGTTTACTCTTATGTACTTATATGAATTGTGCCATTTGTTAAATCAGATATTTTCCATCTACCATTGTGCTAATATGTAATTTACAACATGCGAGGTGTTAACTAATATCCATGTGCTTGTGGAAGTCTACGATATCTCAGGTTTAGACCACGTTTAACTCAGTTACACGGTGCACGGGGGTGTACCTATGTAGAACCTCGACTTCCGTGAAGTAGGGCATGCAATGCTAGGTGTATTTAGTTTAGGGTGACTCGTAACATTCGCGAATGCGTGTGCCTTGTTGTATGTAACTCATATCTTTCTACCGTGAGAGGGAGCTCGGACGCTAGAATAGAAAGGTATTCTAGAGCTAAGACATAAAAGGATCTGAGGGCCCTCGAACCTCCAACTTTAGGGACGAAGTGCTGTAACCAAGGCCGTCCTACCCATCTCTTAACCATCTTCAGTTTTGTGTCGTTACGTGACCGATGTCAGGGGAGTGTTACGAAGCACGGGTAGTAGTTCCGGAAGTCTGGGGTTTATACCAATGTCATTATGTAGAAACTGAGCATAATTGGGGGCCCCACGAGCACACGGTATTGTCATAACTGCCTATTGTTACGTCACAACATGAATAATTGATAAGACATGTTTTTACGAACTTCACACCACTCTATTCGGTATATAATGATATGAATAACTAGTAAGGTGACTTATATCAATAAATGCATGAATGTGGTGCCCCTTTAACTGCGCTACGGGTTAATAGGCAAATCTGCCAGCCCAATTCCTAATAATATAACCGTGAAACAGGAGGGCAATCAAGCGAAGACGCTGGCCCAAACCTAACGAATAACCAGGTTCCCCACCCAATGACTAACTAAAAAGTGTCTTCTATCCGCGATTAAAGGAAAGTACATGACATGTTGTGACGAATACTCTACGCATACTGTTCAAACGTACCCTGCTACTTGAATTCATTCATTAATTAAGGTAGTGTTACATGTTCTGCTTAGGTGGTTGGTGTTTTAATTTGCTTGTGATTAGCATAGTTTGGGTTTTATTCAAGGCCAAGGTTTTTCTTAAGTTGCGATCTTTTCTCCTTGGTAGTGTCTGCTTTTGCGAGAGTGCGGCACCTTTAGGTTTTGCTTGCTTTGCTTTTAATGTACCACATCCAAATTCCGGGGTTTTCAGAATAAGTTTATAATAAATAAACTTTCAGACATATTGCAGTGTTTTATTTGAGTGTTCCTGTCCGACTGGGTCCCGAGTAATTGTATTAGCTTCGTGTAACGTAAGGGGGCCCTACCTTAGACGATCCAATCACGTGCCATTCCTTTGTTTGAAATTTGAGCGGGAACCGTGTTTTGAGACTGGGATTGCAACGTTGCCACTTTGCCGTGAAATCTGTCATTTTTACTTCGAGCCTGGGGGTACAACACAAACTTACAAAATTCGTCACGCGTTTTATTTTCCAGATGTCCGGATGCAAGCTGGGTTTCTTGTCACAATTTAGAACATTATAGCACACGTTGAAATGTTTGAGAGGAAGGGGTAGCCAAAAGACATCCCACAAGGAAGCAGTTACTCTCTGTAAGTACCCGTTGGTTTTACTCTCTCTTGTAATAAAAAAAAACGATACGGTGTGAACACTTTTTCTTGAGCGCTAACGAACGCTTAAGAGCAAAGAGAATGTTCAAAACCCATCAACGAACGCACCATTATATAAAAATGCTTATAAGCACAGTGTATGAGTACGGCCATTGAATTTATAACTATAGCGCGGTCGCACCTCCAGATGCAGTATGGGGTCTTATGAACTAATTGCCTCTCTTACGTCATTCTTCGATAATACTATCCTTGTTTCTAACCGCATTGATGTGAAATTGACATATGATTAAATTCAAGTCCCTAGATTACTGAAGTAACGCGATTGATTAGGCCAGCGTATTAGACTTTTTTATCTTTTTATTTTGTCGATTTCTACGGTTTTGAAAAACGGAAAATTATAAGTAATAGTATGAACAGATGCAGTATTTTTTTCTCTAAAAAAAGCGTATTTAGACTTTTGCTCTAAAATAATCAGGGGGGCTAGTAATGGCTATAAAGAAATGACCATTGAAATCCCTATGCTGCGTCGCGATAGGCACCACCCTGTATCTAGTATCGGCCTACGCATCCTAAATAACGGGTGATCAAAATCGAGTCAGAGTGACGGTCGAGTCACCTTTGGAAGTTCAAGTTAAGTACGATTTCTAAACGATTTCCCATGAAAACAAAAATTGCAAAGGAAACTCGACTGCAATTCATTTTTGATCGCATAGTAGAATTACACCAAACAGCTGAGAAGTGACAGTTGATGACGTTCGCGTTCCGCGCATACCCAATTTTTCGCAGACATGCCGCCTATTATAACCAATACCATTGTTTATTAAACAAATGCCAATACCAAATAGTTATTGAAGTACATTCAGACAGTTTATTTGTTAAAACTTTTCCTTTACACAAACAATGTTCACATACTACAAGTGGAGCTCTTTGATGTGATGTAAAATGTCATGTGGCGGGGTGTACATGTAGTGTAACTATTCAACAAATTCTCTTACTCAGAAGTCTGGTTGCCCTGGGATCTCTCTCTCTCTCTCTCTATATTGTTTAATACCAGAATAGGTAATTTTGATAAACCAAAACAGGTGTTTAAACACATTTATTTCTAACATTATTGTCTTTAGGTATGGATGGAGATAATGATATGCTACTCATTAAGATCGAACCAAAACAAGAAGAAGAAATCCATTCCTTTCTGCAGGGACACAGTTCTGTAAGTAACGAAGTTCTGGTGACAATAAAGGACGAAGTTACTATTAGTACACCATGTTCTACATCTCTTTCTAATGAAGAAGTACAGCCACATTCTGACTTTCAACCTTTAAGTCGGTATAAAACAGTGCCTAAAAATTTTAGATGTGCCGATTGTGATCACGGGACAAATCATAAATGCCTCTTCAAACATCATCATTTAAATCATAAAGTTTCTAAAGATTTTAAATGTGCTACTTGCGATTATGAGACAAATAATAAACAGCTCCTCAAACGACATCTTTTAAAACATAAAGTATCTAAGGATTTTAAATGCGATTCTTGTAATTATGGGACAAATAATAAATGCAACTTCAAACAACATCTTTTAAAACATAAAATTTCTAAGGATTTTAAATGCGCTAGTTGCGATTATGTGACATGTAATACAAGCAACTTCAAGCGACACCTTTTAAACCATAAAGTTTCTACGGATTTTAAATGTGCTACTTGCGATTATGAGACAAATAATAAACAGCTCCTCAAACGACATCTTTTAAAACATAAAGTATCTAAGGATTTTAAATGCGATTCTTGTAATTATGGGACAAATAATAAATGCAACTTCAAACAACATCTTTTAAAACATAAAATTTCTAAGGATTTTAAATGCGCTAGTTGCGATTATGTGACATGTAATACAAGCAACTTCAAGCGACACCTTTTAAACCATAAAGTTTCTACGGATTTTAAATGTGCTACTTGTGATTATGAGACTAATAATAAACAGCTCCTCAAACGACATCTTTTAAAACATAGAGTATCTAAGGATTTTAAATGCGATTCTTGTAATTATGGGACAAATAATAAATACAACTTCAAACAACATCTTTTAAAACATAAAGTTGCTAAGGACTTTAAATGTACCAATTGTGATTTTCAGACAAGTGTTAATTGTGACTTTCAACTACATCTTTTAAAACATACAGTTTCTAAGGATTTTAACTGTTCTTATTGTGATTATAGCACAAACGTTAACGGTTACTTCAAACAACATCTTTTAAAACATAAAGTTTCTAAGGATTTTAAATGTTCCTATTGTGATTATGGCACAAATTACAAACAGGGCCTCAAAATACACCTTTTAAATCATACTGCTTCTAACGATTTTAAATGTGCTGATTGTGATTATGAGACATGTAATAAAGGCAATTACAAGCGACACATTTTAAAACATAAAATTTCTACGGATTTTAAATGTGGTGTTTGCGATTATGAAACAAATGATAAATACAACTTCAAACATCATTTTTTAAAACATAAAGTTTCTAAGGATTTTAAATGTACCTATTGTGATTATGGCACAAATTATAAACAGGACTTTAAAATGCACCTTTTAAAACATACTGGCTGTAAGGATTTTAAATGTACTAATTGTGATTATGAGACATGTACTAAAAAGAACTTGAACAGGCACCTTTTAAAACATAAAGTTTCTACACATTTTAAATGTGATACTTGTGATTATGAGACGTGTAGTACAAGCAACTTCAAGCGACACCTTTTAAAACATAAAGTTTCTACGGATTTGAAATGTGATACTTATAATTATGCTACAAATGATAAAAACTTCCAACAACATCTTTTAAAACATAAAGTTTCTAACTTGGTTTCTGACGATTTTGAATGTGCTAATGTGACTTTTGTACGTGAAACCTATCCAAGAACCTATCTTAAACAGCACCGCTTAAAACATAAAAGAATCTAACGTTTTTTAAATGTGCCAATTGTGATTATTCAAATCTGGAGTTAAATAATAGATTGAACTTTAACCAACACCTCACTGTATAAGTACATTATCTTCAAATCATAGGTGCTCCTGAGCTCTCATTGAACCAAACAGATTTAAAGACTACACTATGTGAGAAAAACGGTGGACTTGTTTTTAGCATCTTCCTTTAGTGTTTGGTATTGCTTCTGCACCTGCTATTTGAAAGCGGTAAATGGAAAACTACCCAAAGGGATTCCTGGTGTTTCAGTTTTTCTAGATATTAAACTTACTGGACTGAATAATTTAGTAAATTTGCAACGTTTAGAAGTTTCCTACATGTTTACAAATTCACAATCTTTGTATTAATTTGCAAAAAGTACATTCTTTTCTAGATTTAGTCAATTACTATCTTAGATTTTGTTTACATTAGTAATAAGTACAATCTGCATTTAAGTTAGACACATTCAGAGATTAATTGAATAAAGCAAATAGGTACCTCCCCTGATATAAAAAGCAAAAGCACACAGCAATGATTAAGGTATAACAAAAATATTTCAAGATAAAGCCGTACTTAACACTTAAGCCGGTTACAAGAAAAGACCCTGAACAAACATGTTATACAGTATAATATTAACTACCTCAAGCGACGCTGTAACTTGAACTCTTAACACCCCTAAAAATCGCCCATTCCCTGTATTTCTACTAGCAACTCCTCATAAAGAACGCATTGTGTGACACTCTTGCAAAGTGTTTGCACTAATGCGTTAATAAATGCACATTTAGCAACAGTGTCAGAAAAAATACCGTTCATAAACAACACTCTGAGAACACACTGAGTGCTCGAAAATCACCGGCCTCCAAACGTTGGTAAAAAACACTCCGCATGCGCCCTGGATATTTTCCCGCTAAAATTGACACTTCTAACCTAAAAACTAAACCAAACCATTCTCGTCTCTTGTGTCGTACGTAGTTTGTAATGGAGGTAACTGAAATAACTCCGGATAAATTTACGATAGTGACTCTTGAAAATGGAGAATTGTTTAAGTCTGACGATGGTCAAATTTGCGTATCATCAAATTCAGGTAACTGTGTTTTTACTTATAAATGTTTCATAATCGCATTAACTTCTTTAGATGGAACATTGTACTTTGTACAACCATCAGAAGCAATATTTAAATCGTTTAATATAAGTTCCTGTTCCTTCCCTGCAGCTACTACCAATGTTTTACCTGCACCAGTTGGTGAAGGTGCATCTATGTCAACAGAAAGACGAGTAAAATGGACTCGTGAAAGTATTACTGAATTAATTGAATTAAGAATGCACTATGACAGCAAATTTAAATCAACATCCGTGAAAAATGATTTAGTATGGAAAGAATTATCTGAAAATATGAAAGGGAAAGGGTTTAACGTAACAGCTACGCAATGTAATGACTAGTGGAGATATTTAAAAGGACGTTATGCTGCAAAGAAAGATAACCAAGGAGCACGGGGTACTGGTGAAGCACCAATCGACTTTGAATATTTTGAGATAATGGATAAGTTTCTGGGGAAAAAACATAATATACAACCAGTGGCAGTTGCATCATCACTACAAGGCGATTCAAGTAATATTTTATTTTAAACAATGCATCTTTATGTAATTGTTTACTTTTGTAGCTCCATGTTCTAGCGATTCAGAACAAGCACTAGAGGACACTGGACCTCCGGCAAAGAAAATCAGAAGCTCGATAAGTAAGAATGTAAAGGAAAGAAAATCTCAAGGATTGATGGAAGAGCTCCGTCAATCAGCTCAAGCTAGGGAAGTTAATCGTGAACGTCGACATCAAGAACTGCTAAATATTAGAACAAAAGCTGTTAATATATTTAGCACTAAAATGGATGAACTTATAAAATCAATCAATAAAAATGACAAAGACAAGCAAAACAATGTTGACAAATAAACTATAACAATAAATAGGTTATTCGTTAATTCTATTTTGATTTCTAAATACTTCACGACAAATATGGTCTCGATGTTGTTGCCCTCTTCCTAATTGGTGTGCTGCATCATCATCATTTCCATTATTAACCACATCAGCAAGTCCATCACCAACATAGTCTTCTATTAATAAATCATTAAAATTTAGGCAAATATTATGCAAAACACATGCAGCTAAAACAGTGGACGGAATCAAATCATGCCGATTCATGTCGAGAAATTTAAGGCGTCTAAATCTTCCAACTAAAAATGCAAATGTTCTTTCAATTACTTGTCGTGTTTGGGCATGTATAGTATTAAAATGTACTTGAGCAGCAGTTAAGTTTCCTCTATTGATATATGGTGGAATACACCAATTTAAAATTGGATAAGCTTTATCACCAATTATAAATTCGTTTTCGGGAAAATATTGCTCTACATTATTTATTATGGCTCTGTAAATGTCTGAATTTCTGAATATCCTGTGATCACTCACAGATCCGGGATATTCAATGAAGACATCAGTCAATTGTAGAGAAGGGATGGCTATTGCTTGTAGTGTAAATGCATAATTACACTTCCTAGTTATGTATGACTCTGAATCTTCTTTTGGGGCTTTAATTTGTATATATGCACCATCAACAGCACCAATAACATTATTTAAACCAGCCAGAACAGAAAATCGTCGCTTAATTACTGCCAATTGTTGCCTTTCGGGCCATTTTATAATTCTGGGTGCTAACTGATTAAGTAATTTAATAATTCGCAGGAAACAAACTGACAGCGATGACTTTGCCAAATCAAAACGATCACCCACAGATCTGAAATTAAACAGCAATTAACACTAGACATTACAAGGAATGTTGTGTGCACCTATATGAATCCGGTGTAGCCAACAGCCATATAACAGCCAATATTTGTTTCTCAATATTTATGGGAGATCTTCCAATTGGGTCCGTTTTTTGCAATTGCGGTCCAAGTGCACTTAGAATGTGCTCATACGCATCAATAGATATTCTAAAATGTTGCTGAAACTGTTGAGCTGTGTACCCTCCAACAATGTGCTCCATATAATTTCTAATACGTTGAGGTGTATGTAATTTACGCTTTTTACTTGCTGATATGATTACTTCCTCTTCTTCAGTGCTTATGTTACTATCTTCATCTGATAAACTTATGGGTATATCCAACATCACTTGGGCACTTAAAGTAAAGGCTGTTGCAACCAACATTTCATTTTCCATTTTAGAAAAAAATTCAATTGAAAAGTGGCCTGTGACAAAAAAAATGAGGTTAGGATTGTTCCCTAATCGTTCATAAAGTATAAACGCACCGGTGTGACTCTTGGGTAAATATCACCTTACACTGACGTCATTTACATTACCGCTCGTTGTAATTAATGAACGTACCCCTGTATTAGCGGGACGCCAAACTAACATGGCTGCCTATATATTCTCGATTAAGTTTCCCGCGAGAATCTGTCACTCGGTGGCCACTCCGAGTGCACTAAGATCGTGATCGTCATATAGGACACCTACGTTGTGTAATAATAATAATAATAAGTGCCATAAAGCAATATAAAACGGCAAAAAAAACTATATTGTAGCCAGAAGCCTAAGAGGGCTTGAACAGCATGAACATGTGATACATCTGCTCTACCACTTAACCCTTAATATCTTAGTAATGAAGAATTAAATTAACAAAGGCAGAAGCTATTGATGACGATAAGAAGAAAACTAAAATACAAGGAAAAGGAAGGAAATTGAGAAAAAATGGGCGAAAGAAAGACAATGATATTACTGCTGATTATACTGCCTAAATAACTGGGTTCTCAGCAGACACTGGGGGCGTTTTATGGGTAAGGAACACCAGCGTGATCCGCATAATGCTTTTTAGCGGCGCCCCTGCAGAAGGCCTTAAGTTGTTCTATACCACATAACCACACCGCCATTTACCTTACGAATTAGGAAAACTGCAGTCAAACCTATTCGGAGTAGCCCTATAATGAACAAAGCCTACAGCTAACATCTAAGTACAGCACTTTTGAGCCCTCTCGAGAGTAAGACTCTTTAGCACAAACAGGGGTAAATACTACGTACACGCTATGAGTAACCAAAATGGAATCGAGGCATTCCCCAGGTATTACAACACATACATTAGACAAAACTAAAAGGTATTAAATGTGTCTCGCCGGACGGTAGGATTACCCCAGCCCAGTGGGGTGCCTGTAGAAGTGGGCTAGAGTTGGTTGCACCCCTGACAAAAAAAAACCAGACACACCCTTGGGTATTGGCGCAGGACCTGCTTGACCAAAGGGTATATACTCTAACCGACGTTTCCCAGTAGAAAGGGTTTATTAATAATATTGAAACCATACAATTTCCATGACCAAGAGTAGTGCAGAAATGTGGTCTCACCTGGGAAGCCATTTGCCCAAGGCTTGCCTGTCCCGAAGGAAAGGAGCTACCACAAGGTCAAGTATCTCAGGGGCTCCATTTTCGACACTGCACCACTCCCAGCACCATGAGTTCTCAGCAAATTAATTACATAGTTTATGTACCTACATATTAAAAGATGTTGTTTGAAGATGAGTTTATTTTTTATCCCATAATCACCATCATTACCTTGTACATTTAAAATTCTTCGAAACTTTGATGGATTAAAAGATGCCTTTTAAAGCAGTGTTTAATATTTGTCCCATAATCACAATTAGCACATTTAAAATCCTTAGAAACTTTATGTTTCAATAGGTGTTGTTTGTAGGTGTGTTTATCATTTGTCCCATAATCACAAACAGCACATTTAAAATCCTTAGAAACTTTATGTTTCAATACGTGTCGTTTGTAGGTGTGTTTATTATTTGTCCCATAATCACAAACAGCACATTTAAAATCCTTAGAAACTTTATGTTTCAATAGGTGTTGTTTGTAGGTGTGTTTATTATTTGTCCCATAATCACAATTAGCACATTTAAAATCCTTAGAAACTTTATGTTTCAATAGGTGTCGTTTGTAGGTGTATTTATTATTTGTCCCATAATCACAAACAGCACATTTAAAATCCTTAGAAACTGTATGTTTCAATAGGTGTCGTTTGTAGGTGTGTTTATTATTTGTCCCATAATCACAAACAGCACATTTAAAATCCTTAGAAACTTTATGTTTCAATAGGTGTTGTTTGTAGGTGTGTTTATTATTTGTCCCATAATCACAATTAGCACATTTAAAATCCTTAGAAACTTTATGTTTCAATAGGTGTCGTTTGTAGGTGTATTTATTATTTGTCCCATAATCACAAACAGCACATTTAAAATCCTTAGAAACTGTATGTTTCAATAGGTGTCGTTTGTAGGTGTGTTTATTATTTGTCCCATAATCACAAACAGCACATTTAAAATCCTTAGAAACTTTATGTTTCAATAGGTGTTGTTTGTAGGTGTGTTTATTATTTGTCCCATAATCACAAACAGCACATTTAAAATCATTAGAAACTTTATGTTTTAAAAGGTGTGTTTTAAGATGGGATTTAAAATTTGTCTCATAGTTACAATTAGCGCATTTAAAATCTTTTGAAATTTTATGTATTAAAACATGTCGTTTGATGTTCCGTTTATAATTTGTTCCATAATCACAAACGGTACATTTAAAATCCTTTGAAAGTTTATGTATTAAAAGATGTCGTTTGAAGGTGCGTTTAACATTTGTCGCATAATCACAAGCAGCGCATTTAAAATCCGTACCAACTTTATGTATTAAAAGATGTCGTTTGTATGTCTGTTTATTATTTGTTCCATAATCACAAGTAGCACATTTGAAATCATTAGAAACTTTATGTTTCAAAAGGTGTGTTTTAAGATGGAATTTAAAATTTGTCCCATAGTTACAATTAGCACATTTAAAAGCTTTAGAAATTTTATGTGTTAAACCATGTCGTTTAAAGTTCTTTTTATCATTTGTCTCATAATTACAAAAACCACATTTAAATTCCTTTAAAACTGTATGTATTAAAAGATGTTGTTTGAAATAATGTTTATCATTTGTTCCATAATCACAAGTGCCACATTTAAATTCTTTAGATCCCGTTTTACATTCGGATAAAAGCTGATGTTGAAAGTCAGAGTGTTGCTGTACTTCTTTATTATCAGATTTAGAACATGCTGTATTAATGGTAACTTCATTCTTTATTGTCACCAAAACTTCGTTGCTTACTGAAATGTGTTCCTGAAGAAAGGAATGGATCTCTTCTTCTTGTTTTGGTTCAATTTTAATGAGTAGCGTGTCATTATCACCATCCATACCTAAACTAAACCCAATAATATGTCATAAAAATCTACCAAAATTGGTATCAAACAATGCAGAGTTAAGATCTCAGGGCAACCAGACATTAGATATATACAGTATACTTACTTTTTTGAGTGATAGAATTTGTTGAATTAAGTTACACAACGTCCCAGTAATTATTATTTGGTTATAACACAAAATTAATTGGATGCGGTGTTGTGTAGATGTTGGAGAGATTTCTTTGTCAACAAGCGCATGCCGCATAATCCGATGTTGAATGTGGTATCTTGCAGGTACACGTACATGCTACGGGGGCTTGTTAAAAAGTATACATACAATACCTTCAAAAAGTTCCCGTGCGTTTTTGTATCAAGGTTATAGTGTGGCCTATATCACGCATCAATACCTACTGATAGTTCTAGTAACTAGTTACGTAGTTACGTATGTAAACACGCTGTGATGCTGCGGTTTGTGTCAGGGAAATCCTTTTTTATATATAAACGAAGACGCGCAGGGAAAAGACGACGAGGCAGATCGTTAAAAACGAAATGAAGAAAAAGGCATGTTTATTAGCACGTGGCTGATATAAAAAAATGAGGTCATTGAAATCTGTACTCACCTGTAGAATTCCATGAGGATATAAAACATATTTTATTTGTTACTCAGTTGTAAACGTTGATTAACAAGACAAAACGCAAACGGGTAAACGTCATCTTTAAACGCTACTGACTTGTAAAACTGACAGCTGACGTGTAAAAATTTTACAAGTTAGTAATCTAGTCATTTCATTGGCCAGAATTAATGCGAAGTCTCTGTTACATGGATAACATGATATTTTAGACATTTCTTTGAGATCAATTTAAGAACTAATTATTTACGTTTACTATTGTTTACAAATGAGTAACAAATAAAATATTGTACATTATACGCCAGGTAATAGCTTTTACTGGCTCTAGAAGATGACAGGCTCGCCTAACGGCTCGCCAGTCAACTTCTCCTATCGCCAGTAAAAACTCACTTACCTGGCTAATAATGTAAAATACTATTACCTCTTCCCGGTATATACATACTTAAATTGCTCTATTATATACATAAAAATATAAACAGATACCCATACGTACAATACGAGGGGTACCTAAGGACAACATTTCCATAATGAAGCACCACCACTCTACTTATAAATAAATCTCCCTGTATGATGGGTTGTTGAGTTCATCACCTGCAACCAACGAGCATTCAAAAATAAAACTAAAAATTGTTTACTTAAGACAATATAAGTAGTTCTTATTGAAAATGTAGTTCTTATGCCCTTGGTGTAGTTCACGCGCAGCAGCTCTTGGTAGTTCTTATGTGAAGTATTTGATTTTCGTTAGATGCTTTTGCCTGGTTCGATTGCAAAAAAAGCGGTGATTTTTTAAGAGCAAATATGCAAAAACTGTGAAGTAGTAAAGTAAAAATGAAACTATTAAAACCTACTTGGGTTACACACGAAGGTAGCCATAATTAAACAATTTCATGCCTTTACCTAAACACATTTTAGATAGCAAACCGATTTTCTCTGTGGACATTCATCCGAAAGGTAACAAGTTTGCTACAGGAGGACAAGGCGGCCAAGGAGGTCGAGTTGTGATATGGAACTTAGCACCAGTTCTAAATGAAGCTGACGAACTCGATCCGAAGATACCCAAAATGTTGTGCCAAATGGACAACCACTTAAGTACGATACGTTGTGTTTTAAGGTTTACTAAGACAAGTTTCGATTAGGTTGTGTTAACGTGGTCCGGTGGAGTTGCGAAGGACACCTGCTCGCATCGGGCGGCGACGACAAGTTGGTTATGATATGGAAACTAACGGGCGAGGGTAGCTCATCGGTGTTCGGCGGCGGTGGAAAAATCAATGTGGAAACGTGGAAGTGCGTTACCACCTTAAATTCGCATAGCGGCGACGTTTTAGATTTAGCCTGGGCGCCGCACGACGGATGGCTCGCTTCGGGTAGCGTTGATAATACAGTAATAATCTGGAATGTTCAGAAGTTACCTGAAAAAGTCGCCGTGCTTAAATCGCACACTGGAATGGTTAAGGTGAGCCACTTACATTGATTTCATTGACGTTAGTTTCTTTGGGTGTATAGGGAGTGGCATGGGATCCTATTGGCAAGTACTTGGCGAGCCAGTCGGACGACCGTTCATTGCGTGTGTGGCGCACAGCGGACTGGGCCCAGCAGGAAGTCGTAACCGATTGTTTCGTAGACTGCTCCGCTACTACGCACGTTTTGCGCCTCTCTTGGTCACCGGATGGTCAGTATTTGGTATCCGCGCACGCTATGAACGGAGGCGGTCCCACCGCTCAGATAATTGAACGCGACGGATGGAAGCAAGACAAGGATTTCGTAGGTCACCGAAAGGCAATCACGTGTGTCCGTTTCAATTCGAATATTCTCAAAAAATTACTGCCGAGCAGCCCAAAAACGCAACAGTATTGCTGTTGTGCCATTGGTTCGCGAGATCGGTCCTTAAGCGTGTGGCTAACCTCGTTAAAGCGTCCATTGGTTGTTATTAAAG